TAATTGCAGGGAGACCGAATTTAATTATATTTTTTAAAAATTTTTCTCGTTTATCATAAATAACCGTTCATTTGTTTTTTCCCAAACTTTTTACATTGTTTCTCATTTTATGATAAAAAGCCCATTTTTGTTGCTAGGCAACAGGTTCGATTTTAAAAAGAGCCCATGGTTTTGACTTCAAATTCAAAAAGAAAAATCCCTTGCTTTTATGGAGATACATGAACAACTGTATTAATCGGGCCATTTTTAAAATTTGGCCTTGAATATTGCCAAAATCACGAAAAATGCTGAATCAGCAAAACTTGTAAAACATGTGTACCTTCCAATGTCTATAAAACTACTTAAGACCTAAATATTTTTTATTACATTATTAAAAAAAAAATGTGTATCTTTATTACACCTAAAAGAAAGAAAAATTCTATGGTATTTACGTGTTTTTTTAAAGCCTCAAAGATAGGTGATTTTTTGTTTTAAACTGAAAAATCCACCGGTTGCTAAGGAAATTTTTTGGCCCGGGGTTTCCCAGGGTTAATGACCAAAACATTTTTCATTTTACATACATTGTTCATACTTCAAAATAAATCTATGAGTGGAAAATCATTAAATTCTGAAACCTTCATGTATCCTTTTTAAACAGTTTTGTCTTTTTTTATGTGGACTGGTATTTAAATGGATATGGTTAATTTCGGGGCACCTAAATCAGAGGTAGGGGGTTGGTTACATTGTCTGAAAATAAATTAATGCTTTGAAATCTACCATTTATGATGAAATAAAACTTATATAAAATTTCCAAAATTTTGAAACATAAAAGGAGATGGGTGGACTTAGCGTGAAAAAGCCCACTAGCTTAAATTAAAAACATATTCAAATTGTGAATTAAGTATTTACAGTAAAATTTTATATTATTTTTATGAAAAATTAAAAAAAAAATTTTGAGGAAAATTTTTGTTAAAATTTATTCTTTTATAAAAGAAAAATAATATGGTATCCATTGGGTTGAACCCTGGGAAAAAAAACCCGAGTTGCATTCTCTATTGAGACTAGCACGTAACCACTACGCTACACAAGTCCTGATATGTGTGGCATTTAAATCAGTTTGTGATATACCATTGACTTAAGGGACTTAATTCAAAACGAAAAAGGACAAAGTTATGTCAAAAATTTTTTTAATGGAGAAAGACCCATAATCAAAAAAAGGGGCGAGTATAGGGGGGGGCCGGGGGGGAGGCCCCCCCCCTTTCTCCCCATTATCTTTACTATAGAAAATGTTTACTGAAAGGAAGGTTGGCCCCCCACATTTCAGCAAAGGGTAGTGTTATAAGAAAATTTACCCCAAAAAGTTTGAATTGAAAGTAATTATCTTGAAAAAAGTTACCACCCCCCCCCCCCCCCCCCCCCCAAAAAGGATTTTCGATTTTTTTTTTTTTTTTTTGTTGTAAACTTTTAGGAAGAAAAAAAAAATTTCCAGGTTGGCCCCCCCACTTCCAAAAACATGCACGCCCTAAAAAAATAGTTTTAAAGTATAAAAAAATGACTCGTTTTTCCCCTTGGAAAACATGGAAAAACTTCAATTTATGAGATTTGTGAAGTTGTAGAGATTTTACATAACGTATATTTAATTTAATATATATAAAAAAATTTTATATAATTGAGATTTTATTTTTCACCTTCATGTTTGTTGCGCTATGGGTTATTTCTCTCATGTTCACCCATCTCCTTTGAAGATTTTTTAAAACTTTATTTTTAATTTACAGATTCCACAAAGAAGTTTATAAACATATTACGAGAAGGAAAAAACTAATAATATGATAGATTTTAAGCAAAAATGCGCGTTTGGGTTTTTTCTAAAAACAAAAAAAAAATCAGTGATGGATAAAATTTTGAAGATTTTTAACGGTTTCTTTGTAGGTCAAAATATGACAAATTTTATGGTACTAAATGAAAAGAGAAACATTTCTATTTATTTTATCTCTCCACAAAAAGCATCATAGCTGAAAGAAAAAACTACCATGTTTGTCAATTAAGGGCTCATATGCAATCTTAATTATCTGACTAATTTTTGTTTCAAATGCTTAAATCACATAAGGTATTTGATTGTCGTTCTTTTTTTCAACATAGTGTTAACATGCATTAAAGTAAATACAAAATAAATAGAATAATAATTAAATAAAAGCAAGGAAAAATAAAAAAAAATAATATTTTACCTTTTCCTAAGTTGTCAAAATGTGCATGGCTATAATTAACTGCTTTACTTTTTTTACTGCCTTATAAATACCAACTATCTACTTTCGGTTTGGTTTTATTTACAAATGGCGTCTGGGGATCCAGAGACGTACGTAGTAGACTATTATATGTCTCTGAGCAAACCTAACGTATATGTACCTTCTCGGGAGAGCTTGTAGCTTTATGAAATACACAGTTTTAAATGGTAATGTAAATTAGATGTATTTTTATTAATTGATTTATATTTATAATCTATTTTAAAGTTGGCGTAAGACACATTTATAAGCAAGCTGCATGTATAATGAATGACACATAAATACACTTGCTACATAAGTGTATCAAATGTTTGGTCCTTTAAAATTGTAATATTGATAAATATACGTGTATAATTACTTAATTAAATTTGATTCAGGTTAAAATGTCAATGAAAGAAAAACGATAAGCTCCATCTTGAATGAAGCGAAGAAAACGCAGGGTGCTGATCGATCTCTAATAGGAAGAGCTGAAGTCATATTAACCCAGCTAACAAAAGCACGCTAACTGGCTGAAGAAATACAATCCATCTCTTGTAAGTAAATAATCAAAATGAATGCACTTTTTCATAATTTCTTTTTTTGTTTTTGTTTTTTTGTCCTCTAGAAAATACCCGAAATGAATATACGTATACATGATTTTAACATTGTACACAAGTATGAACAGAGTTGGAACAAAAATGTGTTTTTTCTTTTCTTGTATTGACATATTGTAAAATACATGCATATGAGCAATTTGTAAGTTTAATCCTTTTGATGTAGTCAATAAAATATATTCGTAACAAATATTTAACAGCACACAGAAATCAAGAGAGAAGACTTCATATTCAAGGCTAGAGGAAACCAAGACTCGATGATTTGTACAGATTTTTGAAATCTCAAAAAAATGCGGGAAATAACGTCTGGAAAAATTATGTCTTCTTATTGGAATGTCGAAATCAAAAAAGAGAGTCGTCTGCTACCAAGGTGAGGTTATTTTGTCTAAAGGGGTTAACTGAATTGAAATTTTTAAAATTTCTTTTCTTATATTATTAATTATTGAATGGTTTATTATTTCATGGAGCTTAACTTTTGAAGGAAATATTTTATGATGATTATTAATAGTGAAAAAGCATAATTATCTTAATTTCCAAAAAACTAAAAATCTATCATTTAAACATATTGTTAATATATAGAATAACAAAACTGTCGTGAACTCTGGAAATCAAAGTAAACCATCAACATACGCTGGTAAGGTATGTAATTTTTCTTTTGTAATATATTACGTTGAATTTTATGTCTTTTTTAAAGCATGAAATTGAGTTCCCTTTATTCCCTGGCAAATTAAAAAAATTTTAAGGTCTCTCTGTGTGTGTTAGGGTGTGTGGATGTTTTTTGTTTCGTTTTGTTTGTTTTTTTTTTTGGTTTTGTTTTTTTTTTTTTACTTTGCTTTCTTCCCAATTTGTATCATTTGCAGTATTTATTTAAGATTGAACAATGTTTGTTTTCTTCGCATTTTACATTTAATTTATTTGATAATTGCAATTCCCCCTGTTACAATCGCAACATGTGTATTGAAAAAAATGAAATCAATTATTACAGACATCAACGACAAGCCTCAACCAAGGACAATCAAGAAAATCCAGTTTCCCATTACCAAATACGGTATAACAAATAAAAAATGGAACACATTGTCACTGGTTGTCCGCAAAACTATTTTGATTTTGAAAGCATTTTGATTGAACACACAAGTACTCTGAAGATGGTATCAAAGATCCCTCGAGTTTTTCATTGATAATTTTTATGTAATGTATAGACACTAAGACTTTGTTACGGATATTGTAGCATAGAGGTAGGGCGTTTGCTTCGTGATCAAATGCCTGAGTTCGATTCTCATTATGTCAAACGTAAGACGTAAGCAAAGGTATTAACTGTTCTTTCCCAAGCACCCGCAGTGAGATGTAAAAGTCAATAGCCTTCGGAGATTGAATGGTACATTCGAGAAAATTTCACTCACATAGAGACATCACTATATACCGATGAAGGGCTTCAAACTTTGACCCTTACTCGGCACCTACTGCCATGAAGGCTATGTAGGATCTTTATCGTGCCAATGCCTGTCGTGACAACTGTCATGGTAGCTCTGTCGGTAGAGCGCTCAATTCGTGTAAGGAAGGTCGTGAGTTAGAATCTCGGCCGCGAATGACCTATGTCGATAAAAATGGGTAGCAACTGTTCCTTCGCCATGTGCTCGGCACGCTGGAGTGAAAGTTGCGGGTTCTTTGGATTAGACCTTAAAATCAGAGGTCCTGTGTCATGGTATATACGTTAGCACGATAAAGAAATATCAGTGTTCAATGACCGCGTATATTTAAGTGCTTAGTAAAGATAAAAACTTGAATCCCTTCACCGGTATGACCGGTATTATGGTGAAGTCTCTATGTGAGCGAAATATTCTCGAATGAGACGTAAAACGACATACAATCTCAGTCTCGTAACTTTTCCGGGTGTTGTAGGAAAGAACAGTCAAAACCCAGGATTACGTCTTACATTTGACGCGATGCAGTCAACTAGAATCGAACCCAGGCGTCTTGATCACGAAACGAACGCCCTACCACTATCCTACCGTAACGATTTTGGAAAACATTTATTACAATTAATTTTGTTGAGAATTTCGATTTAGAGACAAAGCCCTAGCCAAAGTTATGTTTATAATAAGGGATCAAGACAAAATTTAGGAGTCAGACAGTCGAGAATAGTGAGGTACAACAACAAATGAGATCCATCAATGAGATCCAAAACAACAAATTAATGGAAGAAAATGAAAAGCTAAAGGAATCTGTAAACCAACAAAAGCAACAAATTGAGGAACTGACAACAAGGTATTAAACACCCTTCAATGATTAAGGGAAAAGTTAAAAAGACACATTATTTCTTATGGTTTTTAAGCTTTATTGTATTTGGTTGTTAAGATACTCTTTTTATTGGTATTTTAAAGAGCAGTATTTTTCTGCAGATTGAGCAGATATGCCAGTCAGCAATTAACGCAAGGAAACCCAAATATAGCTGACCTTAGTGATAAGAATAGGCCAACTAAAATTGGAGAAAAGTTTGCCTTAGTGTATGATGACCAATGGTCAGAAGCCTTTGAAGCATTAAAAGAAGAAGGAAAGACAGAAGAGACTGTAGTCACAGAGCTAGCTAATTTAGTCCAGGTATGATTACTTTTTAATACTCATAAGAAGGGGGATAAATATTATAAATGAAAGATACAAAAAATATTCAATGTTCACCGATCTTCTTTATAGGAAGAAATTTATTTTCATAAGAACTATAAGGCTATAAATCTCTTACAACAAATAGTCACATATCTAAAAGTTGGAATAAAACTAGAGGTACTGTGAGCAATGAGCTCACTAAATAATACCCCCGCCTCCCATATGAATAGAATGGCAGTATCCATGTTTTGCGCTGAAAAATCCAAAATATAAATCAGATCAAGAAGTAAAATAGGAGGTGCACAATGGCAATATGTAATAATAGTTCTGTGAAAGTTTCATTAAATTTCCTTCAGTGGTATGAGAGGAGTTGCGGATAAGATGGGTACCCCAAAAGCGTAACAGACGGAGGGACAGGCAGACGACAGGACAGAATACACAGATTACTGTATACCCTTCCCACTTTTCAAGCGGGGGATATGATAATTTTAATGGTCTAGAAAGAATCTAGAGGAACGTGATGCTTTTAAATGTAACATCCATTTCGTAACATAATTTCTAGTTCCGGTATTACTCTGGGTGTTGGATAATCTCTTTTAGAGACATGCTTTTGCATACGTGGATTAGGCAAAATCCTGTCCACTTCTCTCAAGAGAACAGGTGTTGGGTACAACAGGTGACACACACACACACACACATACTTACTATTTTTGCATTTTCTTTTTAGGAAAAATTTTGAACTGGATGTGCAATACAGGATAAAATACTTCTTAATATTGTAGGAATGCTACAAATTTTCTGATGAGACTAAAGATAAAATGAGACACGAGTTGATGAAAAGAACAGCCGAGGTGATCAGAAACCCATTGCCAGTAGGTCTTATGTATAGCTTTTACAGTAACTTACAACTAATTTAAAAATATTAAAAAAGTACATGTATATGTATAATACAGTTAAATATCTTAAGTTGTGCTCTATGGTATGTAAAATTTGGTTTTAACCTTTCAGTCATCACTGTCGATTGCAGAAGAACTGAAAGATGTCCAGTTAACAGGGTCAAATGCCATTTTAAATGACCTTTTGAAAAAATATGGAGAACAGTCAGTCAAATCTCTTAAAATGGTAAATATATTGGATATTCTTTCTTTTCATTCATGTTGAAGAGGACACATTGTATATATGCATGCGTGTCTTTTAGTAGATAAAACAATTGTGTTTAGAAATAATAGATCGCAGTAAAACAGGTAAAACAAACAGTTACGTTTTAACATGCATGTATTACAAACCTTTATATTTTCTTTTTCTCACTAATTCCGTACGTTTAGATATGATGCTCAAATTAAGGCTTACAAAAGTCGACTTTTTCTTAATTATCTAGGCATTCAGAAACAGAAGGAGGGCTACACACGTGATAAAAGACTTACTGATTATCTAGACATTCTGGTTGAACTCACGTGGAACATGGTCCTACAGGATCCGCCAATGGCCCTAAATTTTGCTAAAAACGGAGACAAAATCGACGAGAAGTCATTCAAACACTACAGCAAGAAAGGCAATATCGTGCTCCTTTGTGTCTGGCCGGCTTTACATCTGTATAATGGAGGAAATCGTATCGAAAGGCTTTATCCTTCCTCAGTAATGGGCTGCCAATAGTACAATATGTACGAACTTTGTAAATTAAAAACTGGACCATATTTCCCCCTCCTTTCATATTGATATGAATTCAACTCGTTTTGGCTTTTTGATGCCAGAGAAAAATCATATTTTCTAATTGTTCTTTTTTTAATATAGGTACTTTAAATGCAAATAATAAATAAACAAGTATTTAAATTTTTAAGTACAAGTATTTGAAAATCAACAAGGATGTTGATTATTTTTTTTTTAACATTTTCATATTATTTTATTTGCAAGTTAAAATATTTCAAGGAGATATTTCCGTCCGAGTGATTCATCTCATGACTCCAGAATGTGTTCAATCCAACAGAATTTGAATTGTACTCAGTGTGATTTTATAAAAGTGCAAGAAAGTTTAAACTTTACTTATTAAGTTTTTATTTTGTAACAACGTTCATCAGTAAATATATTATTGTTCGTTGTATCGTGTTTGTTTTAACCACTCCTTTATTATAGATAAATTAATTTTACTGCATTGTTCTTGTAATTACAATGTTTTAGTAATCTATGAAAGTTATATTTAATTCTTTAAGATGTAGAGAAAAAAAATAAAGTGTGTAATATTGAAGGCAATTTCATTGGTTATACTAGTATCTTTATACATGTAATCTTTTTAAATACCTGGTACAAAAATGCTCATTTATAAGTTTTTTTAACACAAAAATTCAAATTTAAATTTGATTAATATTTTGATTCGACGTCTGCCTGTCTTTGAACAGATATCTGTTATTAGTTTCCCTCCTTATTTTCCTCAAAAGGTGTGGCAAAGTCACCCAATACGGCGTATATTTTCCTGAAGCAATCTGATCTATTTTCAAATTTTCTAGGGATATCAGAAAGCAATTTTCGTATTGATTAAAAGACGACAAAATGGATAGTCTGTAAACGTGTACACTTGCTTATTTGAAAACCATTTAAAGATTTGAATAGTAGCTGGTTGTGATATATTGAAATGATATAGAAGCTTCGTTATTTGTTTGTTAAGAGTCAAAATCAGCAAGCATCGAGCATTTAGTTAAAAAATGTGGAAAGTGGCATAGAAACAGATTTGGTTAAAACTCATATATAGAATTTTCAGAACAAAGGGTATGATAGAAAAAAACAAGCAAAAAATAATTTTCCGCATTGTTGCTATGGAAACCACGCGCCTTTCAGTACACGTGTTTTGTACTTTATCATGACACTTGAATTTATGGTTAAACAAATACTTTTTTTTTACTAGTCATTAAAAAAAGCTTTTTAAATTATTATTTTATTTATATAAATATACTCTATTTTAGCAGCTGTTGATTTTTTAAATTCTCTTCACCTTCTGATAAATATAAT